GACATTAGCTGTTAAAGCTACTCTACAATCCGAGGGTAAATAAAGTATACTACTACTACTACTACTACTACTACTACTACTACTACTACTACTACTAGCCCCTTGACTTTATAGCTGCGCTCGATTCGGTGGACAAACGCCAAGCGAGTGACGTAGAACGGTTCCTTTTAGCGCTCTGTTTTCAATAACAATAATTATAGGATAGGGATGGTGTAGTGGTGAGAGCGCTTTCTTCCCACCAATGTGGCCCGGGATTGATTCCGGCTTGGAACCATATGTCGGTTGAGTTTGTTAGTTCTTGCCTTGCTCCGAGGGTTTTTCTCCAAGTAATCTAAATTCAAACTCGACCTGAATAGAGAACTCGCGGGAGAAACAACTAAGGTTGATATGTCTTCCTCTCTGAATATTTTAACTTAAGTATTCTATTTAAGATAACTTAATTAACTTCGTAAGAGTTGGAATTCTCTTCTAGGTGTAAGACCGCCGGATCTCGAGGCGTGTCCGCGTTCAGACAAGTCAGAGTTATTTCTGCTTTTGCACCCAAATATTATTTCTTATCTTTTTAACCACTACATGAAGTCGGGTACCGTTTTTTTTTTTTTTTTTTTTTTTTTAATTCTGAATTATAACAACTAACCAGCAAAAGCTGGCCATCGGCGAATAGCAAACCTTTATCGTGTACATCCAATCAAATCAAGGGATTCGCGATATACCAAGGTACCAATGAAGGAAAATGTACTTATCCGAGACTGTTTAATAACGGACGAGAGTGACAAGAGAGGGATGTATTCGCAAATTGTTCATAACTATAAATCAATTAAAATGCGAAAATAATATGACTTATTATGAAAAGATATATTTCAGACTCACTCGTGGTTTTAATAACGTGCTTGCGAAAACCATCACCGTTGTCAAGGATCCATAAATTTATGCACGTTTTTCCACGCGGTTTCTTTTCCTCTCAGAACGATTGGCCTTAAGAAATCCGTAATGACAAAAATTTCTCATTCAGCAGTGTTGCATATGTATAAACATAATAGAAACATTCGTCCGTTGGATTTCGAGAGTCAAAAAAAACGAAACCAAGCAAGTTACTAATCTTATGACAACGGAGGCTAGTTGCATATGAATTGTATTCTATTCTCTTTACAGATGAAATGTACGTCTCAACGCTTTTAAAAAACACTAATTGCTCCAAGTAAATCTGTAGTGTTTGAAGGACGCCAGTGGAGAACTTTAACTTCCTTTTATGAATCATGTCGACACTTAAGGTTCTTAAGAGACCGAAACCGGCGGCAGTCTTTACAACTTCGTTCACGGGCCATTGCAGCCGCAAAGCGTCATGGGCACGTTCCCCACTTTTCCTGGGCGACGCTTTTCGGAGAGCGCGATTCTGCGATGAAGCTGACAAGCCAAAACGTCTCTTTTGGCTCGTAACATGTGCACATTTGTCGTTTTCTATAAATATCGCTTTTCCGATCGACCTATTTGCTTCACGCTTTCAAAGGCACAGTATGCTGTGTCGTGAAATAAGGGTTTTTGTTTTAGGAAATCAATCTAAAAGTATGAAATTTTACCAATTTGAAAAAAATTATTTTGCATGGATTTATAGTCAGAGCAATTTTATAACAAGCAAGGAAGGAAGGAAGGACGGGAGGAAGGAAGGAGGGGACTTGGCAGAGAGGCTCATTTCCCATCTTTGCGCTCCTGTTGCCCCTGCCCCTTCCTGTTTACCCCTGCAACGCAGGCTAAAAAATATTTTTAACATACTTGTCATTTTTTCAACCTTTAATTTGCTTACCATTCCAACAATTTGAAATTTTCTTTTATAAATGTTCTACGATTTACGAACAGCTATTGTAAACCTCATTACTCAAATAGTCCCTTAAAAAGAATAAGTGTTCCTTTCCTCACAAAGTCCGTTGGTCTTAGTTATCTGAAGTTTCCTTGTCAAATATACTGTTCCACAATCCTTTATATACAGGCTGGTCATAGCTTGCAATAAATCTTATCCCAGATCCACCTTGACAGCATTTGGCTCTTGGAACAATTAGAGCAAGGTTGCCTTTGGAAACCTCTCCATTATTCTAAACAGGAGCAGTTCTGATGTGCCTGAGATCACAAGGCAGAATTCGAATCCGTGCTGTTCTCTCGGGCGTGCTTATTGGCCTGGGAGTGGCGGGGTTTTTGGTCATGTGGACGAACGTAGGTGTTTACATGAAGCGAAAGCCTGTAGTGAGACACAATACTGGTAAGAGAAGTCTCTTGTAGTTAGTAACGGCCCTTACTTAGATATTGGCAGAAACACTTTGTTACAAAAGAAAATTCCTTTCCATTTTTAAATGCCGAATTATTCTAGCTAGTCGCACTACAGTGATAGCGCTGAATGGGGCTCGGCTCACATTACCAATTTAGTAAACCTTGATCTTACTTGCCATAGCATCGATTAAGCTGGACACCGGTTGCTTTTCTTTTTGCAAAAACAAATAACATTTTTGCTCAGAAAATCCCCACGTTTATCAACATTTACATTAGCTTGCTAGTTCAATGGTGTAACAAAGAGAGAAGACTGCGTTTTGATCCATTAACAATAATAATCCTCGCACATGCGTACAAAAAGAAGGGAAGTGGACAATTAATACTACCACAAGTTTGTTCGGAATTTGATAAGGAGATTTGCCATGTGATGTTGACACTTTCAGTAGATGTGCTTTACCAAAATTTTGTGTCAATAATTTCATCTGACCTTGCAATTACATGAGACAAGAAATATTAGTGATAGAAACAGACGTTTCGGTGCATCTAGCGCCATTATCAAGGCTACATAATTAAAGATAAAAAGCGGTTTGTGAAGGGACTAAGTTGAAGCGAATTCGCATAAAACTGAGTGCCAAGCAAATTCGCTTCAACTTAGCCTCTCGACAAATCGCTTTTAATCTTTAATTATGTAACCTTGATAATGGCGCAAGATTCCCCGAAACGTCGGTTTCTATCACTTATATTTCTTGTCTCATGCATTTCCAAATCGTTTCTTATAAGAGTATTGCAATTACCATCCATTTACGAAATTGTGATTTACTGAGTAGATAGTAAAATCCGAGATAACAGACTTAAGGACATCACATGGCGTAAGGTGGCTCACTACAATTTCCAGCACTTTCCAAGACTTAGATTTTGATGGGTCATTATAACCACTCTTTATCAGTTGATGCTACAATCATGGAATAAAAAAACTGTCTACTCATTGGTAAACACGTGATAACTTTCGTGACACATTAGGTTACCATAGAAACTGTATGACCTGCTAAAAATACCCTTAGCTATAGATTGAAGGACTTATAACTAAAAAACGGCACGGTGAATTTTTTCTTTATTATCAGTTTTTGTTAGCAGGATAAGACGCAACTTTGGGCAAAGTATTCAAAAAATTCTGTACGTAGAGTTCATAGGCACCTTAAATTTCAAGGTGGCTCTGAAATTTTGGTTGCCATGTCAACGCCTACACACAATTGACATATCAAAATTTCTGCGGAGAATGAATGAATAGCTACTGAAAGTTTCAGCCCCTTAGAGGAAATCGTCTTTTCAAAACTTTGGCCAGACATACTGATTAAGTAGCAAACCTACTTCTTTTTTCTTGCAGGAAAAGATTTCCGTGGACATACTACCGTTATCACTAGATCATTTGGAAAACAGATGAACACAGATAAACCTGTTATACAAGAAAATGAACAAAGTGCATTAGATGATAAAACTACGTTTAATGATGGCCCCATTTCTTCAGGTAATTCAACTTTTTGTTCATTTTATTGTTTTTTGTTTTGTTTATATAGTGAAACCTGTATTAAGGTGGCCGAACACAGTTTTCGCGCGCGCTTTTGCTGACGCAATTGAGCGCGCGCACAAGGATTGCAAAGAGCGATCATTTTATTTACTCAACACCCG